GGAGGGCTGGGCTGTTCCCTCCCCTGCTTTTTGATGAATTCCCTTAATAGATCTCAGCTGCAGGGAAAGCACCGCAGCACGGCTCCTGAAGTCGCCTGTCACCTCCAGCTCCCGGTTACCCAGCGAGACATCACCCTCTAGGATCCAGCAGGGGGGAAAAGAAAAAAAAAAAAACATTTTTCAATGGCAAAAGGGTCACCATGTTAAGGAGAAGAAGAAAAAAAAAATAAAAAAATTAATAGCTTTAAATATTAAGCACGTTCTAGAATTTCAGGGAGGGGGTTATTTACTGTACTTGGCTATCCCAGGAACCACTTCGTTTTATTATTAAAACAGAAGGTTTTACTCAATAGGAAAAACCAGTTCCAATGTTGCAGCAACAAACTGCTGGATTTTATTTTGTTTTTCTTGAAAATATTCTTGCGACAGCAAAGTTACCTTGCTACAAAGCTCTGCACGCCTTGTTTACCCAGATGATGATATATTAGAAAGTATTCTGTAGCTTATCATATAGCATCTCAACTTTAAGAAGGCATGTTGAAGAAATCCTTTCTCCTAAGGGCTAAAATGAGGGCAATGCATTCCTTGTGGGAGAGGGGAAAAAAAGAAAAAAGAAAAAAAAGCCTGATATATCCATATCTCTTTGAGAAAAAATGCTATTGTCTGGCATAGTGAACATAGGGAGAAGGAAGGGGGGAGGAAATGGCCTTATGGAAAATAAACTCGAGATTTTGTACTGATATTCAGAAACAAACTCCTGAAAACAAGATTTTATTGGATGTTTATCTGGCTGGTTCCTAAGGTAACACAGCTAAAGAGCAGGCTCTTATCTGGAGAGCGAGGAAGAGACTCTGTGAAAAGAATCCACGCTGCAACTCTTCAGGAAAAAAAAAAAAAATGAATAAAAAGGCAAAGTTACCTTGCTACAAAGCTCTGCACGCCTTGTTTACCCAGATGATGATATATTAGAAAGTATTCTGTAGCTTATCATATAGCATCTCAACTTTAAGAAGGCATGTTGAAGAAATCCTTTCTCCTAAGGGCTAAAACAAGGGCAATGCATTCCTTGTGGGAGAGGAGGAAAAAAAAGAAAAAAAAAAAAGATGAGGGCAATGCATTCCTTGTGGGAGAGGGGAAAAAAAGAAAAAAGAAAAAAAAGCCTGATATATCCATATCTCTTTGAGAAAAAATGCTATTGTCTGGCATAGTGAACATAGGGAGAAGGAAAGGGGGGGAAAATGGCCTTACGGAAAATAAACTAGAGATTTTTGTACTGATATTCAGAAACAAACTCCTGGGGGGGAGGAAATGGCCTTATGGAAAATAAACTCGAGATT